TGACCTGAGCTGAAGTGGGACGCTTAAACGACTGAGCCACCTGGGCGTCCCCGGGTTAGATGATTTCTAAGTTCTAGCTGTAAACTCATTTGGCTCAGCACCCTGGGAATGAGAAAGAACCGGGAGCGTGGTCAGAAGCGGGAAGGCGGGAGTGGCCAGGGCCCTGCTGATGGCTCTCTGTGCCTACAGAGTTCACCCACGCAGGGCAGGGTGGGCTGATTGAAGAGCCCACAGGTGATGAGCTGCCGACCAAGAAGGGGCGGAGGAACCGTTTTAAGTGGGGCCCAGCCTCCCAGCAGATCCTGTTCCAGGCCTACGAGAGGCAGAAGAACCCCAGCAAGGAGGAGCGAGAGGCACTGGTGGAGGAGTGCAATAGGTATAATGGCTGGTGGGTTAGCGGGGCTGGTTTGGTCTGGGCTGGGGCAAGGTTGGGTGGCTCTGGGTTCTGAGGAGGGCTCGCCAGTCCTTGAGAGCTCCTCCTGCTGGCCCTGGGGCACTCAACTTCCGCTCAGTGTCTGCAACCTAGCTCCACTCCTAGCACCTACTCCCCACCCACCCGAGCAACCCTTGCGTGGCCGCTCATCTCATTCACCCTCATCTAGCCTCATGGCTATTTTGCTCACTTTATAAATGGAGAGACTAAGAGAGGCTAAGACACTTGCTCAAGGCCACACAGCAGAACTGGGATTAGAACCCAGATCTGCCAGTTTTAAACACTAAGGTAGAACCCTACCGCTCAGAACTCTCTTCGCCACCTCCAGCCCCAGGAGAGGGTTCCTCTGAGCCTGGCCTGGAGGCTCATGAGTGGCCATTTCTGCAGGGCGGAGTGCATCCAGAGGGGGGTGTCACCATCGCAGGCACAGGGGCTGGGCTCCAACCTCGTCACGGAGGTGCGCGTCTACAATTGGTTTGCCAATCGGCGCAAGGAAGAAGCTTTTCGGCACAAGCTGGCCATGGACACATACAGCGGGCCGCCACCGGGGCCAGGCCCGGGCCCTGCGCTGCCAGCCCACAGCTCCCCGGGACTGCCCCCGCCCGCCCTCTCCCCCAGTAAAGTCCACGGTGAGTGATATGTGGGCAGGGGGGTTGAAATGTAGAGGGTAGAGGGGACACGAGTGTCGGCTGGGGAGCTGGGGAGCACCACCTCAGTGGCGGTAGCCACCCAAACCTCTCAGCACTTCAGCTTGGATCCTTATCACTCCACTCCACTCATTACAGTCTCTATCCAGTCCTCTCCTGTCCATCCCACTGACCACGCCCCTCTATTCTCCAGTCCAGCCTAACTTGACTTGGGTTACTTCCATTCAGTTCATTCACTCAAGATCAATTGACTTCAGTTCAATTCAATTCACTTCAATTCAATTCTGTTCAACTCCATATGATCCAATTGAGTTCCTTTAAATTACACCCGTCTAATTAAATATAATTGGAGGAAATGAAATTAATTTTGTACAGCTCAGTTCAATTCAATCCAATTCTCTTTGATCCGATTCAGTTCAACTCCACGCGCTCAATCTAGCTCAGTCCATTTCAGGCTCAATTCAGCTGGATTCCATTTCATTGAACTAATTCCAGTTCCTTCTATTCAACTTGGCTCACTGCAATTTCATCAGCATCAGCTCATGTTGATTCAAATGCCTTTCACTGCACACCTACTGCCTATCACATGTAGTGCGAGGAGTGGGGGCCATGGAGCTAATAAAACTCAGGTCTTGCCTTCAAGGAGTTGGAGGCAGCCAGCCCAGGAGCTGGCAGGAGGATGCTCAGGTGAAGTTTGCCGCTGGCACACAGAAACACAGGGCAAGTGGCCTAAGCACACCAGTGCGGTCTGGGGTGATGAGGGCCAAGGAGGGCAGGGAAGTGAGGTGCTGAGGCTGGGCGCTGCTCCCACTCCAGGCGTGCGCTATGGACAGCCGACAACCAGCGAGGGGGCAGAAGTGCCCTCAAGCAGCGGTGGTCCCTTGGTGACGGTGTCTGCACCCCTACACCAAGTGTCCCCCACGGGCCTGGAGCCCAGTCACAGCCTGCTGAGCACCGAAGCCAAGCTGGTGAGTGTCCTCATACCCC